CACAGACAAAGGGTGGTCAATCTGTGATCTGACTACATGAGGCCCAGGTCACAAGAACAAGAGTTTGTTCCGTTTTTGGCAGATCTTTTTTTTCGATTCTTTGTTCTCAAAACACTCTCCTTCGGCAGCCATTGGCTCCTTCCAGGTTTAAAATGCTGCAAATGTATGGACGACCTTTGAATCTACTTCCCCCCCCCCCCCTCCCGGTACATTTCTTACTGTTCCATGAGATCGAGGCACCAAGAGTGTGATGTATTTTACACAGCGCGTGAACCCAATACATGGCCAATCTCGGTGGCAGTTTGTTGCATTCCTTCGTTTTTTAGCCGGTTTTGTTTATCTGTTTGTTAATTCAATCACAGCAAGGTAGTATTGAAAGACAAGTCCTTGTTCTGAACGTTGATTAGGCGAAGGAAACCCTGTTTCCAGTGATAGTTACTCACAGGAGTCATTTGCCGGTACGTACATTTGATGAAAGCGACGCTCTCTTGCTGATATATTCGTCTTGAGCGACGGTTCTAGCCTGTTTCGAGGTCTTCTTTTACACTGAAGAACGGCAAAACTGGCGGGCTTGGAAATTCTGAAACAATCTTCGTTTATACAACATGGCGAAACTACTACTTCAATGGAGGAATGTGAAACGAAAGAGCCCCAGCAATATACTGTCGTCAACAGCAATACAAACGACGAGGACTCGTTTACCTTAGAACACACAGACGATATTTGTTTTCAAGAAGAAACTCTATCTAATTCTGATAATCTGGAGGTGGAAAGTGGAGTAGAAAGTGCTACGGGAGATGTAACCGAAGCAGAATTGCTTGAATTGGGTTTCACTTCGGACTACTTCGACTACGCTGGTGAAAATTTGTCTTTTTTGCAACTGGGTGATCTAGATTTAACGACAGAACAAGCGCAGGAAACCTTGAAATATTTCAGTGAGTACAGTATAATCTTCATGCTTTAAGTTTATTTTAAAAACAGTTTTATCTAGAATTCTTCGAAATTCGAGAAGAATCGATCAAGATTTGTAATCATGGCTTATACATTGTATCATCACAATAGCTATAGCTTATGTAATGCTCCATATTTACGATGGAGTCCAATACTGAAATTTATTTCACGGATATTTAAGTTACTTCATTCCTGTTTTCCTTTTTTCTTTAACTGTGTAAACGTTTCAACTTGTTGCCATCTTCAAATTTCTGTTCACATCTGAGTTTTGTACAGTTCGAATTTTAACTTCAAAGACAAAACATCAACCAGCTTCTGACATGTTCAATTCAAAATAAGTTTTTGATTGTATTATTTTCCCCAGTTATGCAATCAGCTGTTAAATATTGATTTGTCGCACTATTGGCTAATATATAATTTTGATATAAATAATGTTATCAATAATGCTTACATGTAAATTGAAAGTTTACAATCCCAGATTATATATAATTTACAGTTTTGTTAATCCTTTCTTTGTTCGCCTTGTTCGTCAAGTGTTTACTGTTTTCTATTGAAGCAGATTATTTTTGTTTATATTTGAGGCATTCTGTTTAAATTTTGTTTTCGATCCAAACAATCTCTGATCAATTAAAACTGTTACCATTTTCTCTGTAGCTCTACTCAGATATCATTATAATTACTCTTACAAAGTTCATGGAACATGTTTCCAGTCTAAAGAAGACATAAAGGGCTTTTTGTTCTCTTTGTTATCGAAATATTGTACCTTTAGACTCTCATTCTCTCCGATCATGTGTATGGTACAGCTGAACCTTCTTTTAATGGAGTCTCTTAGACCTAAAATATTGCTGCTTGCAGGAGGTTAAAAATGTAGTATGCATATTATGACACTATGACTAAAGCAGACATCATCTCTTATGAGAAGCGAACAAATTTTCAAGAGCATAGCTGGAGAAAAACTGTGAGCTTCGAGGAGCAGATAACGTTCAAGGTCAAAATTATAACCGACCATATTTTTGTGCCAAGTGGAGGATATTGTGTTTATTATCCTTCAGATATTTTTCACAACACGCACGGTTTTGAGAATTGGGAATTATCACTTGGATATTCCGCTGAGGCATATTCAGTCATGTGATGTATTTCAACCAATCGTGTGCGAGCAAAAATATTTCATGGCTTATAATGTTCAATATTTGTAAACCTTATTGTATCATTGTGGTACATTTCAGTGGCATACTGGCTGATTTTGGTTGAGCCATGGTTCATATTTAGTGAGACATACATGTAGTTTAGCCAAAATACAGTGTACTCATTACTTGCAGGACCAAATGAGCCTTATATGCCACCAAAGCATACCAAAAAGGTACAATTAGTTATTCATTCTGCCCAAATTCAGCAAGTGAACATGATTTTATAGTCATACATGTACCATGCCTTAGTAACTTGATATTGCAGGATAGTAGACACAGCTCCTAATTGGCTTATTGTAGATTTGGGTGTGGTAATCTCTGATAACATTCAATATCCTTAAATTCAACCTTTTTACTGATGGTATATTAATTATTGCTAGGAGAAATTAGATTTTGGTCACTTGATATCTAAAGAGGTGAAGCTTGGATGTATGCGATCACTGCAATTAGTATTGTGGTGTACTTAAAACCACTAATTCAACCCAAAACTTAACATATCTGTGTTTGTGGTTAAATTGGAGTATTCTTGTGGTTAATGTGACAGTCATGTCTTAAAATGTAAACATCAAAGAAACTTAATATTTGGCTGTACACTGTAAGGCTGTTGTCATTAGATTCAAAATGCAGTTTTCATTTATTTTCAACTTTGTTCTTTTGCATTTCTCAAAATGTGCATCAAAAAACTACAGAATATTTGCTTTAATTTGTTTCACTTGGTCTCCAGCATTGCTTTGTCACCTTAACTGTTTTAAGAATAGACTAAGGTCTCTTTTAGACTTAATAATTATTATTTAAATTTTATTTATGCTGTTTCTGATGGCAGCTGATTTGATTCTGTGAAATTGTTTTTAAGCACCTCCTCCAATAACAGTGTGAATGGTACTGAATTATTAATAACTTTCAGCTAGTGCAAGTCAGTTTAAAGAGAAATTATGGCTGTGCTGTTATACAGTTATTGAAAAGTATGGGGCTCAAAGTTCTCATTTACACATAAATTTGACTGTTATAAGGAGAAAAATGTTTTGGTCTTCAACATCTTATTTGAAGCTTGAGTTGGCAAGTTGAGGATGAATAGTTCACATGCAAGCATACATTATTGAGGCAATAGAGTGTTAAATGAAGTGCTTAATTTCAATAAGAATCATGCAAAGTTGATTTTATGAATTTTCATCCCGATGGATCACCAAGGTTAGATTTGTTTGCAGATCCATTTATTACAGTATGTAATCTACTTTGTAGATGATAGAAATAATTTCTCCATGTTCCCCTGTTTAAAATTTACTTGTCGATTATAATGTAGGTGATTAAAGTGAGAAAGCTGTACATGAAATAATTATTTGAGTAATATAAGAATAGTGCACAATATCCTTGTGGTATTGGCTGGGCTTTTATATATTTTATTTTAGTAAGTTAAGTCAGAAAGTTGGAAATTTAAATTCAAATGGAGTAATAGTAAATAACATTGTGAGTTGTCTAGCACAATATTATTGTAACGATACCACTGCAGTGTTGTCTGTTAATTTGTTGGTAAGTTGGAGATAAAATTGCCTGTAAATCTAAAAGTAATGTGAAAATTAAATGATTTCAGATTGCATGTGGAAAAGCAATATCAGTGACCTATGTAGTACATGCATTGTTAGTGATGTTGGCTTGACTTCCATCCACAATAATTCGGTGGTGATTTTGTATTATATTATATTTGTGATGGGTTACTGAGACTTCAGACTTTTATTTGAACTATCTCTTATTAGAGACAGACAGGGTCAACCCAAATTTTTGCAGTAGCCAGCTTTGCTGTTAGATTAGGTGGTTATAATTCTGCCATGTTTTTCTAAAGAATCTGAAGAATATCCCAGTAGGGGAACCAGCCAAGAACTGACAAGATCTATTTCTGACAACCTTGATTCTAATGTAAACATAAGTACCTAAACGTGAGTAACATGGTGGCAAATACAAGGTGTTCAGTGTTACAGTGATTTGAGATATTATTAATAAGTTATTCTTTTCAACTTTTGCAGCATTAGCATCAGACCGAACGAACCAGATGACCAAGACACACAATGATCTTGATGCCATTTTGCAACTCTTGCAAGAGGTGTGTTGCATTTTTCTTTAGTAGTTATAGTTTAAGGGTCTGTGGGAGGTGCACTGGCTAAATGGTTAGTGCACTGGAAAATCAATTGTGAAATCTTGAAGAGTTCAGAACAAAGATCTACAAATGTTAATGGTAAAAATGTAAATTTATACTTGTCATGAAGAGAAAATCTGTATGTGTTTTCAAGATGAAGTTCTGATAAGACTTAAGAAAAAAGGGGTCAAGGCTGCATACCAGCCAAGTGGCCCATCAGGCGGGCGCTTTCACATATCTCCGCTTACTGTGGATGGGATGTCAGTCCATGGCAGGGTTACCTCCAGCAGTAAGTTCCACCCACCCATTGGGTGGATGGAGGCACTGTGAAAGTACAGTAACCTGTCTTGTCCAAGAACACAATTGAACGTCCCAGGCCAGGTTTCAGACCCAGACCGCTCTCTCCGGAGGAGAGCATACTTTACCATGAGGCCACGGCACCTCCCCTTAATAAGACTTGGGATTAATTTTCATTTCATGTCTTTTTTTTCCACAGAAAGAGAAAGATCTTGAGCTTGCAGCACGAATTGGGCAGGTAGGTGTATGAATATATCACTGACATGCTTGTAGAAATTGTTGTTTAACTGTGATGCTTACATGTACATTGTTTAATTACAGTTTTTGCTTAAAGTGATTTGAAATTCTGTCAGATATCACTATTTTTACTTTCCATTTTGTCTTTTTTTGTAGTCCTTACTGGAGAGGAACAAGCAGCTTTTGGCAAAAACACAAGCATTTGAGAATTTTGTTGCTGAATGCGACGAAAAGGTCTGTGTTCTATAAATTTGCAATGACAGAATTCAACTAAACTTTTTCCATACAGATGCCTCTTCACAGTAATTTAGTAACATGCAACCATTTATTTGTACTCACAATTTATAAAATAATTACAATAAACATTAAATTAGTATAGAGTACTGCCTGCCCAAAATAACCATAAGGGCTAAAAAGAATGGGCAGACATTAAGTTACATAGATTATTTATACAGTTATCGGTCGGTAACACACTTACACACACACTCACAAATATAAAGATACAAACAGAATGGAAACTTACAGCGGAACAGAATATATCCTTATGAGTTAATTAAAATAATTGTAATATTTAATATGAATCGATAAAGTGTGTTTTTAATTTCTTCTTTAATTGAAAATCAAGTAATTTTTTGTTAGACTCATGAAGAGAATTCCAGATTTTAGGCCCCTGATATCTAATGTTGAAGATCCCGAAATTAGTTCTGGTTTTGGGCAATGAATAGGATTGTTTGGAAGCAAGTCTCATATTATAGGCATGAATTTCATTAACTGTAGTAAATAATGATTAAAAGCGGATGGCAATTCTTTATGATGGAATTTATGCATAAAGATTGCAATATTTAAGACATAAAAATCAGGGAGTTTGATTATAGTAAGATATTTAAAAATTGGACTAGAGTGAGCATCAAATTTAGAGAAGGTTATTATGCGCATGGCTTTTTGCTGTAGAATATGTAAAGGTTTCTGGGAGGTTGGATAAGAACTGCCCCGGGCGATAATACCATAGATGCACATCTTTACTCATAGAACTATACAGCACTTGTATGTGAAATAATTTAATATGTGCATTCCACCCTGTAATGTTATGCAGATACATAATATGCATTACTTTGTTAACTACATATAAAGCTCTTTTGATGAGCATTACATGTTCGTAGTGTAAATATTTGTTAAATAACAAAAAATGATGTGTGAAATGTGCATTGATTTATAGGAGACACAACTCCAACATGAAGTTTCAATGAAGAATGAACTTCTTCAGAAATTTCTTAAAGATCAGGAGTTTGAGGAGCTCTATCAATTGTCTCATCGTTCAGACGAAGACAGTCGTAGGTGGGTGTTGTCTTAGAGAGTCAAAATAAGTATATTTCCTACAGTACATGTGCCTGGTTGATAGGATTTGTGCACAGTATAGGTGGTTATTACTTAGATCAAGTCCTAATTTTTAGGATCTAGCTGTGTGTTTTATTAACAATGTGGATTGTTGTTATAAACTAAAAAAATATGGTTCTTATTGTTGGGTATTTTTTTAACAGCAGTGACAGCTCATGTAGGGATGATTCCATCTCCTCACTTCAACAGAAGTGCCAAGCGCTAGAGCAACAAAACACACATCTCATCTTAGAGGTACAATCACACTGTTTCCTCAGATACATGTACATCTAATGTGTACTTCAGCTTTTGTACAGCCAAGATGAAAATTCAACCTTAAGAAGTTGTCTCCTATACAGGATGATCTTAGCTTAGCCATAGTCATTAAATTAATGTCAGAGCCACTTTTAATCAATTTCTTGGAATTCCACTAAATGAAAAGAGGAAGTCACATGCATTAAGGTCCATCATTAAGGGCCATACCCCGCAACACCTGTTATGGCTGAGTATGCTTGATTGTCCCTTGATTCTATGGGTGAAATCGTTCGTTGTTGATAGAATTCACCAACAAAGTAACAAGTTTGCTACAAGTGTGGAGAGATTTAAGACTGCTGTTGAATCAAAACTCAATGACAGCGCTGCTGCAGGGTTGTCAAAAGTTACTGGCTTCCAGTGAAAATCCTCAGATATATTTCTGTGTTATGGTCTCAGCCAGCCACTCTGCTGGGCTATTTCTCTGATTCTTAAGCAAAAAATAATGGCCTTACAACAGCTTTGGGCTACCTTAGCACAAGGAAATTTGTATTATGTACAGTGTGTGAGGAAAAGGTGGTAAAATCAGCTGCTTACAGCAATAATAAATCTAGTGCAAAACTTCAGGACAACTTGTCATATGACTTAATTGATAGGCTATCTGCATTGAATTGATTTTGTAGGCATTGCAGTTGAAGGAAGAAACAGCAACAGTGGAAATGAAGGAACAACAACTGGTGCTAGATTGTGTTAAACAACTAGGTGGGTGGATGGCAATGCAAACCCTCAAGTGTTAGCCAAAGGACAGATGATGTTAATGTTAAGGATAGTCCAGGATAGATAGTGCTAACAGAAAATGCTTCTTACTGGATAATAAGTGTTAATGGAAAAATCTACAGTTTTCATTTGAGTGTCAAAAGGTAATTGCTTTTGCATCAACTACGCTACACCATTGGTTTAAAAAAATTTCACCACTTTTTTCATCTAATCAGAAGTAAAACCAAAACCAATCATAACTTGTTCGCACATGTTTTCCCATGCTTTGTGTAAGCCACTGTAGTGTTCAAGTTTTGATTGGTTCACTGTATTGTCTGTGTCCTTTGTGATTGGCTTGAGTGATTACTGGTACTTTGGTTTTTGTTTTACGACACTCAATTGATAACCTCTCTATCCACTGGATAGTGATATATCTCCAGGGGTAGATAGCATTGCCCACCATTTCATCAATTGGACCCAGCTCAACAGTTCGCAAGAGTCTTGAAAAACATTCAACATGAAGGTGGAAGAGGGAGCGACAAAAATACTTGTACACCAAGACGAACAGACGTGGATTGTGAAGATGGATAATAATATTATGCATATGTACAAGTTGATGCCGTGAATCTGTCTTTTTGGCAGTCAGGCCATGAGAGATGTGTTTATAATGGGTGTTTTTGCTTTTTCTAAGCAGTTGAAGCTAAAGATCAGATATCCGGTTTGACTGATGAGATCTCCCGCAAAGCAGAGGACAACATCAGACAGCAGGTATGACTTAGAGATGAAAATATCAATTCTCTCGTTGATCACTATGCACTTCATTTCATATTAATTATGAGAATTTGTGATACATCTTTACATCAAAAGAATTTTCACTACAAGGAGAAAAAGAAGAAAAGGAAACAAAAAAGGGAAAAAAATCAACTGGTGCTTGACAATTTACTGAGATGTTCAACAGGAAAGTCACATGTACATGTCGATGTTACCTACCTGTATGTAACAGAGTTGCCACAGGTCAGGAAATGGTCAGGAAAAATTATTTAATACAGCTGATTTAAGGTCATTCCCCAGTACTGCATTGTGCATCCTTACTGCCCATAATTTATGGCGTCATTAGTGTGCGTTCACTGCTCCTTAACGAGCATGGGCACCCCCCTTTTTTAATTTTATAATTAAAGTTCTCATATGATAAATATTCATTGGGCAAAGTTTGGACAAAAATCTATCTGCAGTTTTATTTCAGGGGAATTACCTTAATACCATCGAAGGCTGGTAGAAACATTTGGAGTCACTATGATCTCAACGATATTTTTATGTAATGAAAATACAAATAGGAAAATTCTTGAAAACTTATCAGTCCTTATAAAGAAAGAATGGAAAGGATGGCTGTAAAATGAGGCTAGAAGTTGCTATTACATGTGCATCTGACATTCTGTATTCATTTGGTCAGGGAAGTTTTATTTTTATCAGGGAAAAGTCAGGGAATTTTGAAAAGTTATGCCTGTGGCAACCATGTTTAATGATTTTCTGTCTTTTTAATTATTAGGAGGAAATCACTCATCTAATCTCAACTGTTGTGGATCTGCAAAAACGTCACAAGCAGGTATGTAATTTATCATCAGTTTATTGACTGGGTGGGTATTACAGCCAAATATTTTCCTATCCAGCTTGACCTCACCCAGTTTTGGCCTTGATTTTGTTGGAAAGTGGTAAAAATGTCACGGTGAATGTTCTGAATTTTTTGGGCATCAGTGCTAAATGCTGGGGTGGTTCTAGGGGGGATTCGGGGGTTCAGCCGAACCCCTTAAATGTAAAATGTCTGACACATCATAACATGCTGACTTGGCCTCCAGGTTCCAAGGATGCCCCTGGACCCCCTACAGTAATGTATCTTGAACCCCTTCTCTAAAATCCTCCATCCACCCCAGAAATGAACTATTGACATTTGCAGAGTGGGCAGCTTTTTTTTTTCAACTGGCTCAAATCAATCCAGTGGTTCTACAATAATTGAGGCTGCTTGTTGTTTTCTTTGGGATTGCGTCAGCAGGACAGTATGGCTGTATGGGAAAGATTCCAAGGTGTAAATGCACATTCCAAACATTTTTACCTGAAACAAAGCAAAATTGTATGATTGTACAGTCACTACTTTAGATGAGCTCTGACTCTGAAAATGGCTTCTGCGACATGATTGTTGTAACTATTCCGCAGTATGATGAAAGTATTTTTCATTTCAGCTTTCAATGGACAATGAAGATCTGCAAAGTTTACTGAACTCTTCTCAAACTAATCAGAACCAACTTAAAACCAAGGTAACATTTCCTCATTTAGTTTGTGACTTTTTACTGCTGGGTCCTGTGGATGCTTTTGAACTCCTTGTGAATCTATTTGTATTGCAATACTCAATCCTGACTGTTTTATACCAGGTGGATGATTTACAAGATAAATACCATGAGTGTTTGGAGATGTTGATGGAAAATCAGGTACTAGTGAACAGAGTTCAGTCACTATTAATAGAAAACTCCTCTAAACTGGTAAACCAAGCTATTCTCTTCTGGTGGAACAAAACTGAATCACTAAATCCTTGTGGCAGTTGTAAATTTAGTTTAGGAATACGTCCATTGTGACGATGCGGTGTTATATAAGTTGTTATTTATATAAAAAATATCAATAAATTTGTAAATAATATTGAGGAGTGGGTATCAACTAACTGAGGATTTGCCGTGTCTTTTTCATCAGCAATAGTGTTCTGTCGAAGTTTGGTCCCCTGTTTTAACCCAAGTTCTTTCCTTTTCAGAGGGAAGTCAAAAAGTTAAACACGAAGATAGAGTAAGTGTCCTAAAGGCTTCAAAATAGCTTGATAATTAACCAAAAAAGACCATTACTTCACGCGTATAGACTTTAAGCAAATTTACGTATTGGTAAAATCTTGGAAACTGAGAATATATGGTGCAAATTGAATCTCAACTCAACCGTATGTCTGTTAAGAACAACTTTAGAAGCTACGTCATTGTAGGAAAAATGATCTCAAATGGCTTTTCCTTGTCTTAAAACATGTATGTGTACAAATTGGTTGGGGATCAGTGTGATTGTAAAGTCACTTACATTTCTTTGATGTTAATATTTCAGGAGTGGGACTGGACCTAGCAAGATGTCACCCTCTTCTCAGCTATCTTATTATGTAAGTAAAGAATCATGAAATGTTAGATTCGCTTTGAGCAACCTTTCATGGTAAACTTGTATTTAAATGCAACTTTTAATAATGTTGATATCCAGTGGAGGTAGACAGTGACCTATTGGTGAAAAACAAGTTTTCAATCGTTGACCGACACGAGAAGGGTGATATTGTTTATGGTCCCGTGAGAGGAAAACAATAATATTAAGCATGGCTTAGAAGAGGATTTCATGTTGTGTTTGATATCGATCTGAAGTTTTTTTTTCCCCTAGGATTCCCGTGATTCCATTGCTCTGGAAATTGAGGAAAGCGTTAAAAGAGATCTGACTTCCCAGCAAGAAAAACGGTTAGGTCTTACTTTACACTTACGCTTGAAACTTGTCCTTGATTAAATAACGATAACTGTAAAAAGTCTGAATAAGGCTACTGGTCCATCAAGCCGGAGCTTATCTCGGTTCCCTTTGGCATGAAGCGACTAGGAGTATTTCTACTCCCCACTGGATGGGACGCTGGTCAATCTTACATGTAGGTTTAACACATAGCATCAAATTCGCCGGTACGCATTTATACACCTGGGTGGAAAGAGACACTGTGAGAGTAAAGTGTCTTGCCCAAGAACACAACACAGTGTTCGCAGCCGGGGCTCGAAACCGGACCGCTTGATGCAGAGTCTTGTTCGCCAACTATTAGGCCACCTCACCTTTACATAAGGTTATATGCGTCCTCACTTGACGAGAGATGACAGAAGGTGTAAATCAAGAGAGATTGTCGATCTTTTTTGTGAATTTGATCCATTTCTTGTTTGCAGAGAACACACAGCTCGTGTCATGGAAACTGTCCGTGCCATCAACGCTGGCAAAACTTCGAGAAGACCTCGAAAAATAGGGGTACATAATCACCAGAGCACAAGTTCTGCTAAGGATGGACCAGGCTTCAAATTCACACTATCCGACACCGCAGCTGAAACCCGAGGGGGAGGTGAAGGAACGAGTGAATCACAGGACGGGAACCCTGGGGCAGGTGTGTATCCAACTGTGATCAACTAGTGCTTTGTTTAGCCCAATATAGTGAAAAAAAAAAACAACAAACAAACAGATATACGGTTTACATCAGAACCCTTTTTCGAAAGACGTCGACTTGAATCTTTTGTACGAGTAAAATCTAGAGTGCACTGATTTCGAAATTTTGCGCAGTGTTAGCATGGGTAATCAAAATGGTGACGAGTGAAGTTAGGAAATAATTACGCGTGCGTTTTGTCAAAATTCTAATAATTTTCCGAGACTTTAGACGAGGGAGATTATTAGAATTTTGATCAAAGTTAAGTGAAGTTATTTCTTAATATTACGAGTATACCACCTGATTGCCTTTTAACATCATTGGCCACGAATACTTTGTTTACTGAGTCGAGAAATTTCGCGCCAAACGTTGCTATGGCAATTTTATAATTTCACATGTGAAATTGTAAAATAACGCTGAAATTTCGCGCCATAATCAAGGGGTAATTTGTCACTCGTGATATTACAGAATCAAATTACCTTTATGGGGTTAAGAGATGAAAGGTTTTAGACTAATGTTGCGAGTTTCTTTTATTGTTCAACAGATCGGCGAATGTCTTACACACGGCGCTCGTTCAGAGCTCCAGAGAAGCTGCAAATCGTTAAACCAATCAAAGGGTCAGTCACACTGCACCAGTGGAAGAAACTAGCCAATCCAACGCTGAACCTTGCAGAGCAACGCCCAGGGGTACACGTGAAGGGGAACGGCCAGGAGTTACCAGATAAGGAGCCAAGGGAACACACAGATACGATCGACATGGACCCAGACGAGTACGTGGAAGATGAGCCATTGCAAATGAACCTTTCTCGTACCTCGGAAGGGACTTCAGGGGCTGCCAGCCAAACAGGGACAGAAGATGATGAGGATGAAGACGAACCTATTCAGATGCGAATTGGTCGCAGTCCAGAAAAAGTAGCCTCACCCACTGGGGCTAAGAAAACGGGGTCTGTGAAGAGAAGCCCCGCTGTGTCCCCTCCACGAAGTCTGGGCCTGATCTCGCTTGTAAGCGGGCAAGGCTTTCAGAGAGGCTTCAAAGAACGTAGTGTTGACAGCGGTGGTATCTTAACGCACCTTCTAAACAGCCCCTCTACTTCATCACCTGGGACGTCTTCAGTGGGCCAGGTACTCGCTGACGTGTTGAATAAGGCCAGCAAGGAAGCATCAGAGAAGGAGCCTACTAGGGCCGAGTCCCTTCGCAACCTGGCAAATTACTTTAGTGAGAAAGAACGTGGTAGTAGCACCGCGCCTCCTAAAGTCAAAACCCCTACCTCTCCCCCAGTGGTACCGCTTACCAGCACCGTACCCCCAGCCGGGGGTGGTTTGCTGCTTAGTAAGATACTCGGCACGAGCGGTTTATCAGCAGGGTTGACGATTCCTTCGCCGACAACAACGACAGCTAAGACAAACACTCCTCCCACCACCACTAACAGTACGTCCACAGCACCCAGTATTTTTACACGAAGTACTTTGGTCAGGAACTCCAGTGGCAGCAACTTGCTTAGCTTGGCCCAAGAAGCAACAGCAGAGGATGCTTCAAGTAAGCGTCACAGTCTGGACTCATCTCTGCTTAAGAACACAAACAAGCAATTGGAGTCTGAATCTTCTCAGGGACTGGATTTTTCTCAGTTGAAATTTCCAACACTTCGCCGGCGTGCGAGTAGCGGTGATCTTCAAGAAATGGGAAGTTCAAGCAGCTTAGATCGGCTTAGCGGCGATGGGTTAGGAGCTCGATTATACAGGAGCTCTAGTATCGGAAATATGAAGGACCTTAGCAACGAGAACCTTTCAGGGCCATCGGGGGACGTCTCTGAAGGGGGATTTTTTGGTCGTCTTCGTCGCTCTCCAAGCATAGGGAGCCTCACAAACCTTGTTCAACGATCCAATTTTTCTGCAGTTCTTCCAAATTCACTTGAAGGATCTAGACAACGTTCAACGAGCTTAGAGACATTTCCAGTGTTCAAGGCGGGCCAATCTCCTTCTCCATCCAAGTTCGAAGATGGTGGACATTTCTTTGGAAAGAATGCTCCCTCATCCAGTGTGGATGCGTTACGCGGGGCTTCCGGTGGGGTCGTCACTGCGGGGTCTCGGCTGAGTAGTTTGGCTGGGGTCCGCGGTTTTTGGTCCCAGGGATTGAGTAAAAGCTTGGAGAGTCCTGCGCCGCCAGTTGTCCTACAGCCACAACAACCCAAGAGTGAAGAGCGGCTTGAAAAAATCAACAAGGCCTTTGCTTTTGAGGATTTTGGAGGGCTAGGACTGATGTCGTTTTTTGGAGGCAAATCTCGTGGTTCTAGATCAGGCAGTCAGTGAGAGGAAGAGATAGGATTACAGACGAGCAATCGCTAAATTCGGCCTTGGAAGGGAGAAGATGTCCCCACCCTTCACTCGGTCAAGTTCGTATTGTTTGGTAGCGAATTCCCCCCCCCNCACAGAATTCAAAATGTGCTCAATTTGAAAATGCCTACACAGCCCAGCAGGCAAGGAAAGGAATACGAAAGAATGAATTTAACAGTAATAGTAACTATAAATTAATAAGAATAACAGTCTGGTTTCAATTTGTAAACAATGAAAATTCGAGTAAAATTATTTCACATTGAGGACAATTGACGTGACACGTTAGTCACGCTCGATTCTTGCAATGAAGTTTGATTAACTGGAAGCACTCCAGAAAATTGAATCGAGAGTGCGGTGACGCCCATTATAAAGGTTTTCTCTTTTGGTGCTTTTTCAGTGGAAACTGAATGCTAAAAAATAGACAAGAAAAGGGGTCATTTATTGAGCGTTTTCTGGTGTTTATAGTGTTAAATATTTTCTAAAGGTTACATAATGTATTTTTTTTACGATTAACCGTATTTAAATTGAATTAAATTCCAGGGGGAATGAGGTAAACTTTATTGACCAATTCCTTTTGTTATTCAGTAGAAGGTGCTAAAATATAGTAAAGGGGTAGCTTTATTTCTTGGTAGCTCAACCAAATCAGTTACCCCAAGACATTTTTTGTTTCAATAAATAAGGCGAAAGAATTGTATATAGGTAAGCGATGGATTTATTTACTTTTGTTCCTACCATATGAGTAGCAATAAAATAAAATAATGGTTAAATTGTCTTGTCTGACAAAGCGCCTGTTTATGGAGAAGGTATCTCTGGTCGGAGGGGGGTGGGGGGCGCACTCTACAGGAGCTGGGCGAGAGAACTTTTCGGACATTCCTTTATAATTAACGCAAACAGTTCACAAACTTAATTTGGCGGGGGTGGGAGGTGGGAGGAGGGGAGGGGGGCAGGGTGACCTTGGGTGGAGGCCACTCGATTTCCAGGCTAAGGAGGAGGGATGTTTCAGCTAATTTTTGCATTAATTAGAACAGCTCTGTAGACGACATGATATTGGACCAGTCCCCCAACTCCAGTTTAATCATCTGTGAGTGGAATGGGTCGAGGTACGAGGAATGGATAAATGTATGAATCATCGAAGTTGAACTACAATATATTGCATAAAGACATAGTCTATAAACCTTCCAGTCTCAATTCCCACGTAGAGAGATCAGAGAAATTGTAAATTCTTACCGTAACATATTACACTCGAGCAAACAGTGGTAACGGGAGAAAACCTGTCACGAAAGGCTGTGACGAAGTTAAAGTGAGTGTGGATAGTTAATAAAATGAAAAATCTGGATTACAGTAGCTCGGCCTTAGTGTTTATTATCAAATTAAATGCTTTTCTTTCATGAAGAATACAAAAGCAAAAAGCGACACAACGTAGGATGATCAGCTTTTTTGAAGGTGTACTATATTTCGGCTGGCCAAACCAGCCTTCTTCAGGTACAATGAAATTGTTACATTGGGACGTGTTTTTATGTAGCCGATATTTTCGTAATACCGGAAATACGTAAAAGTAATTGATAGTATAAATTAAAGATAAGCATACGGTAAAATAAAACAACATGATAAAAGAACATAATAAAAGAAAACAAATGGAAACAATATGTTCCTTCGCGGATGTTCAGACCATCYGGATCAATTGTTCTGCCTTTTTGAATTAAAAAAGCTTCCCTGGCCTTACGGATAGAGTCTCGGTTCGAAAAGATTGTTTCCATTTGTTTTCTTTTATTAGGCCATGCAGGAAAGCCCGACACAATTTGTATGGAATTCCAGGCGTCCAGTTTCCGAAATCAAACTTCAAACTCAAGTTAGAAAAAAAATACAACAACAACCGGAAAGCAAAACTGTGCGGAGAGCAGCTAGCCCTGGCTAAATTCAAGCTATAAAAAGTCTGAAGAAAACTATGCATGTTATCTGGCCTTCCTTTCCCAAAGATCATTGACTGCGGAGGAATTGATTGAATAAAATCTTTATGACGATCTCTATTTGTCGAAAATGCAGAAAACCTTAAGTTGATCTTTTAAACGTTTGTCTGGAAATTTCGTTGCAAAATATATTTATAAATGGGGTGTGTGTAGGACACGCATTGACATTTAATTCAATCATATTTATATTAATGTTCATAGTTAACGAGATGTACCTGCCATTGCGAGTTAAACTATCCTCAATATAGAACGTCTTTAGGTATAATTTCTCACCAACAACTACACATGTGTAATTTAACTCGGCTGGAAAGTTTAAGTATCGACCAGTGTAAATTACTTAGTTATCTTGCGTCGAAAACATATTGAGGCTGTGAACGAAGGTGAAATACAATACAAAAACATAGAATAAGAATTAATGATGTGAACTGCAGAGACACAAATGAAATGAAGATGTAACCATTGCAGTTGTAACTGCCTACTTTAATTTATTGTGAGTTAAGCCCCGGAGCAAATTGGATTCGAAAAGAGATTTTCGGAGCTTCAACTAGATTCATTGAAACTAGTGGCTTCTGCAGTTAGCGGTGAAGTGTTCTACCAACTGAGCTGTGAGGACCCATACAAGCATCACGAGCGGTCCAATTTATTGAAACTGCGATCGATGGTCCGATACCTTCATTTCGTTCGAAATCTAAAACCTTTTAATGACCCCCACTTTCGACTTTTTCTTATTTTTTTTTTTTCGTCAATAAAGCTGCAGAAAAATTGGGAACTAAAAGCAATGCTAAAACTCATCCTGCGTACAGCTTTTGTTGTGAAAAGATCAAAACTGGTCTGGCTCCTGCCGCGCGCTTTAATCAAACAAATCTGCTTTGCGTTGATAGCCAGTGAAAAAGTCGCAGGTTGAAAAGCAATATTGTCTCCAAGAAATGCATTATGCAGATTTCTCTAATTGTCGTTGCCATAGACACAAGAAAACCAAAAAGCTTATGCCTTTCCAGTCTGCATTGTTTTGTAGTCTCAATTTAAACTGATTAATCTAGGCAACGATTGAAACCGTAGCAATGCTTCCAATGTGAGCACAACGCGAAGTGAATATTTTTCGCACTGAGTGACCAAAGGAAAGGAGTACTGTTTTTGACACGAAATTCAAATTCTTTCTATTACTGCCGGTAAATTCGAGTTATTTCATTTCCAGGAAGGCAGGCTTGTAAAGATTTTAAGGAAAACGACCATTTTTTTAAGTTTAAAAGACATGTTTCGAGAGAACTTCTGTCATCTTCAGTTGAATGAATGATTACAAAGCAAGTTGAACAATAAGTAGGCAGGCTTATTGTTAAAACAGTAAATTGCTTTAATTTCTACGGCTCCAGATCTATCCTTGGTGGCTTCTCATAAAAATGAAACTTTTCTTCGAAATTTACAAATTTTCAGGCAGCAAGTCGAGTATCGCCCCCACACTACTCCTGAAAGGGAATTTTTTGACAATTCCCAGAATGCCATATGATCGCACGTTCTTCACGCGGCTTTCTCTTTTCGGCAGTTTTCATCATGGGCCACTCAAACGTTTGGTTTTCTCACCCAAGAACTTACGGACCAGGCTCAAGATCCTGGTAAGTTTGTATCCACCGTATATTTAAGTTATTGTTTGTTATTTTTTTCTGATGTTCTGGGGGACTACTGCTGTGTTTCGGCGTATTCGGTGGGTTTACAAGGCTCAACCGAGTCGAGTGAAAATTCAATATGGCGGACACGTGGTTCAAACCCGTAAATTTAAGCGATTCGTCTGTATTTCACGTTCACGTTTTGTGCCCCGAGTAGAATTTACAGGAGAAGTGACTGTTTGAATACACCACTCTGAATGAAGAAATTTTGACAGTATTTGTTCGTTGGAAGCATGATTTCTTTTCGACTGAAAGTTTTGAATGTCTAATTTCAAGTTTTGTTGAAGCTCAGTGATGACTTTGTAGGTTCATTTGACTAGTCTCGTAAACTTTGTAGCTTAACATTTGTTTGCTAGTTCACTAGTAAACCATTCCTTGCAGCAAAAGCTTTTTCATGCAAAGCTCAAAATTAATGTATCAGTCAATTCGAAACTTCAACATCTCTCCCCAGAGCTTTTGACATTTTGGTCAATTTCCCATCCCCCAGGGTAAAAGCGGTGTTCAAATGCCTCGCCTTAGAGTTGTATATGCTATCAAGTGACCACCGGGATATGCATGGGAAAAATAAATAGTAGAAAAGAAACAAATACCCTTGACTGGCCACTTTCCTCTTCCACTGTGCCAAAGTGAGACTGTGCACAAGTGAGACTTTATATTTACCTTCAAACACTGTACAAACCTTTTGAAGGTACTACTTTTATCCACAATGTATATACAAAGAACATTGTTGTCTCTCAATGCCTTTTACAAATCTTCACCACAATATCAATGTAACTCGTTCAAATTTATCCCCGTTCAAATTTTCCACACCAATATCAATCACTGACATCAAATTCACATCCCCGGGGCACATCTAGACAGTTGCCTGGGGTTTGCCTTGGGGTTATGTTAATGTCTTTATTTGGTTGACACATGTGCATAAATAATTTAGTTCTATTGGTTTTGCTGAAAAGAATATATTTTTATTCAAAACATGCAACTAACAAATAGCTGTATTTTTCCTTTTTCATAGCCGTGTTTGCTTCAACCATCATGGCCTTATCAGAAAATATGGACTGAACATTTGTAGACGATGCTTTAGGCAGTATGCCAAAGACATTGGCTTTCAGAAGGTTTGTTCTACTTTCATCACTTTAAACAAAAAAAATAAGTTATATAAAATTGACATGGAATAAGATTTATAGTCATACATATTTCGGAATGTTCTGCTCCATGCAGACCAGCTTTTTGAAATCTTCAGTTTAATCCCCATATTGGGAAACATTGTGTTTGCGAAATGTGTGCCATGATTTTTGCCTATGTTTGCTTTCTGGTACACTTGTGGCCATTTTCTTTTTTTCATTTCACCTTGACATGCATTGACGTACATTGAAATTGGTTTCTTTCTTTTTTATTTGCAGTTCCATTAGTCAAGAGTGTACTGAGGTCAAAGCAACAATGCAGAATGAGAAGAAATGGGTGTTAAAATTCCAAAATAATGATGGAATAATTTTTGCAACAACTAACTGTAACATCTTTCTGAATGTTGTATTAAAGCATTGTTGATATTTATCACATTTCTGATCAGGTGTCTTTCTGTGTGAATGTGACGGAACATCATAATCAGATTCTAGAATAACCTGGTTGTCCATGAAGCCGGTGCTTACCGCTGGTTTTTGTTTTGTAATGACTTGGAGTAATTGTGTATTTCTACTCCCCCTGGATGAAATGCTAAGCTATTGCAGGGTTACCCACAATATTTCTGGTACCCATTACACACATGCAGAGCCTGAGAGGCCTTGCAAGTAGCCTTTTCCGGGTGTTCAGTGTAGTTAGGGCACAGCACGATTAAAAAAAGGCACAAAAAATAGGGACAAGTGCAACGCAGGAAGGCTCAGCAGTTTTTTGTTTTTTGCACTTCACCCCAACTCACTAAATGCATGGAAGAGGCTACATTGCAGGAGACTAGCATCTTGCAAAGTCAGGGTTCAGCACATTAAGGCCACTGTGCCTCTCACAAACCGCTTGCAGTGTACGTGTTAGACTTCAGAAGAAACAGTAACACTTACCTTGACCTTGAATCCTTGAACAATGGCTGATTATGTAACCTGCACTAGGACCAGTCATGGAAGGCTGCATTTCCAGGAAAGAGATCTTTGTGCTTATGCCAAATTACAAATCAACGCTAGGACACAGCAGAAACTTACAACTTAAAGTGCAGGAGCCATAATTTGTTTGTTTTTACTTTTTTGTTTTTTTACAAAAAAGTACCAACAAAGTGTTTGATCTATTGGAATATTTCCAGTCACTACCAAAGTTAATGCCCACACTAATCTTCAGCCCTAATGAGTCATGAATTTGAACCTTTGTCCAACTCTTCCCTGAACGTCAAATAAATGGACATTTCATTTGCTGTATACTTCATCATTTTGAATGTATGAAATATAAAATAAAATGTGCAATCGGCCAGTTTCTGAGTTCTCATTCTGCCTCACATACACTGCAAAATCTATATAACTTGTAGTTAGCATGTGTGATTACATAAATATGAAGATTTTTATTATCTAAATTTCCAGTCTTTACAACCAAACAACATAATTTATTTTGCCTATTTTATACAATTTTAACATGATCCTCCTAGTTATACAAATAGCTTATGATATTTGCTATAACTTTGCTTCATACTGAAAGGTTGATTTCATTTCAAATTCTCAGGGTTGAACTTTGTTCCCTAACAAGTTCTGTCGCAAAAGATGACCGATTTTTTTGGTCACTGGGGTAAAAAAAACTTTGTTGTATGTCATGAACACACAGATCATTTTCAAGACCGCAAAATACATTGAAATTGTTAGGTAACGGAACAAATGAAGATTCAGCGAGTTGTTTACAGGTAACGGGTTGATTGGGGGGGGGGAACTCCCACGTTGAGGGAGTGGGAGGCTCCTACTCCTGTATATTTTGTAGGTTTTGCTTTTCACTAGACTTGCACAACGTTTATGCTTTTGCTTCTCTGCATTTTCAATAATTTTCCGATCTCCTTACCCGTACAATGTTGCCCTAAAAAATGCTGAAGTTATCGTCTATTTAACCTTTCGGAAAAATCCCGCCCCCCTCCCCCCACCACTACCTCCCTACTTGGGAGCGTAGTTCAGGAGCGAAGAGGCTTGGTTACAAGGCATGGCATACTGGACCGCCATCGCGTGGATTCTACCAGAAGACAGAGAATGTTCTACGTGTAATTTATTCTGTTCTTCATTTTTCTACGATCACATTGTTGCTTAGGGTCTTACATATGAATGGACAGGTTCGATCTCAAAGAGCAAAGGAAATGTTCGCTCCATGCCCGCCACACCGAATCTACAATGTTCGAGGCTGTAGAGTGGTGACATTGATCTTCTTCCTTGTGTTCTTAACAATATTTTTCCTGGTTAGTTTTGCGGACGTTTCCATTTCAAGACTATTTTACTTATCGCCTTCACAAAGCTCTAGATCAGAGCTCCATGGAATCATGTTTGATGCCGGTAGCACGGGGAGTCGAATCCACGTTTATACGTTTGTGAAAACTGCAGGTAAGACGCCAGTGAAACCAAAACAGAAACCTCACTTGTGTAAAATGTTCTCAAGGGTTTCTTTTCAAAATACAACGTTGACGTTTTGTACTTGTACCTAAGGTGATACCTGAGCTTAACAAACAGAACAGCCGGCTATAGTACTTAACACATGCTTGAGAATGCTGGTGCTACTAAAGGTCCTAAAGTAAGGCTTTGAAAGAGGTTTGTCAAGGTCTTGAAAAGTTAAATTGAACATTAACCAGATCCTTGAAGAGTCATTGAAAATAAAAACACAGGTTTTCCCTCAGGACAGTCCTATTATTAGCAGTATAAATCTACTAGCGTTCTATCACGAATGCCGTTCTCTGATTGGCTACACTACTCACTATGTATTCTGTGATTTGATAGTTAGTAGCGTAGCAGTGTGCCCTTGTTAACAAAATAACGGCCGCTTCTTGGCATTTTCGATGTGTCTGTGAAGAGGATTTAGATTAAGTTTTGAACGACTAGTAGATTTATACTAAAACAATGAGATTATTCACTCTCGATTTCTATTGCGTGATAGTTGACTCGGACTGTGCCCTCATCAACTATCACGTGATAGAAATCTTGAGCCCATAATCTAATTGTTTATTAGAAGTAGTTGACAACGATATTTCCTTGTATTTAATGAATCTTACCAGAAATTAATTATAAATTTTGTGTTTTTTTTTCCTTTATTATCTGATGGGTGTATCTAGGAGGACAGTTGGGGCTTGTGACAGAGTTCTTTCATGAAGTAAAACCTGGCCTTTCAGCATATGCTGATGATCCTAAACAAGTGAGAAGATAGCATGTGATCAACATGATCAATGTTTAGTTCCAGAAAATATCCATACCTCCCGCAAGGAAGGGATTTTTGTAAGATCCCCCACCCCTCTAGAAGTTTCAATTAAGCTTCTGCCATTTATTTCTTTAAATTTTTTGGTCTTACAGACTCTCCCCTCCCCCCACAGGAAATTCCAATCCCTTCTATGGGGTGGGGGGTAGAGAGTATGGATATTTTCTGGAACTGCACAACATATAATTTCCCAACAAAGTAAATACATGTAGTCGGAAGAACAGTCAACAAGTTTCATTAAATAATTTAAAGATTTGTTTGCACTACATATAGTTGACATAAGTGTTATTGCTGGTTTTCAGTGTCACGCCATTCAAAATAGGTCAATATAAAAATCAAAACCATTCAATAGATAAAGTTCAGAATCTGGGAAATGAAAGAAAGTAAATATGCAAAGACTCTTGCCAAGATTCTGGTCACAGCAATTTTTCTTATGCAAGATACGTGGAGAGATTTTTTACCCAAGTTTATAGAGATTTGTATGGAGACCCCATGCTTGTGCCCAATCGTATGGGCACCAACATGGCGGCCAGAAACCAACAGAAACATATGTCACTGAGTTTTTCTACAAAAGCGTGAATTTATCTTTCAAGGAACTCTAAAACATCAAAATAATACTTTTTCTAAGACATGAACTGTTCAGCTAGCCAAATTCCCCGAAATAAGTCACTTTTTTAACCATGATGACAGCTCTCTAGGCTTTCATGTAAATGCTGCATCATGCAATAGCTTAGAAATTCAAGTGTAGTGTATCACAAAACCAAGAACCCATTCGGAGCGAACATTGGCATGAATATTAGTTTTCAGCTGCTCTTGTACATCATTAATAAAAGTAAAATCTCTGGAAGATCAATAGTTTTGTAGTTTAAATTTTAGTGACGTCATGTGAAAACCGGCTATTGTACAAAGGGTGAATATCCCAAAGGTAATGGTTTTGTTCATTGTAATTATCTGTTTGCTTGAAAATGACTACTGAAATTGTAAGGATGATTTAGAACACTCAGGATATTAATTAAATAGTAATTTTGTGTGGTTCCAAAAAAATATCTATACCCACCCAGTGGATGTCTGCCATCACTGGGGAAGAGACAGTGCATTCTCAAATGCCAAAATTGTAAAAGGACGGTATGAAACTAAATTGGAATCTCCAGAGGTGGTGGGGTGGGGGCTTTAAACCATAACCCTTCTCACTGAGTCTCCATTCCGTCCTCACTAGTCAAACTATCATCTATTTCAGGTTCATAGCAAAATTTTATTCAATGCTTTTTGTTTTTCAGGGATCACATTCTATACAGGAGTTACTTCAAAAGTCAGATGCAATCATACCAAAAGAACAGCAGAGAAGTACTCCTGTCGCACTCAAGGCTACAGCAGGTTTAAGACTGCTTCCGTCAAACTCTTCTAAACAATTACTGGAGGAGGTATTACTCTTTGGACCATACTCATATCGTTCTCAAAATCATGAAATTTAATTTTTGCAAAATACAGGTGTATGGCTATTGATTTTTTGCAAAATTGAATACTTGCAAAATTTAGTGAGAATAAAGTATTCACATGGTACATTGTACGTCTGCAAAAGTGTATTGAAAAGAATTGACCGTAATAAAGGCAGGCTGGTGTAATATTCACAGTAGAGAGGTGGTCGTTATAGAGTGATGGCCATCGTAGAGAGGTGGCTGTTGTAGAGAGGTGGCCATTAGTGGAGATTCAACTGTAATTAATCACGGTTCATTATTTAATAATTTGTTTCTACTGAGTGACAAAAGTACCACAGAAATTTGTTAATTTTGTACACTGCTTTTCAGGTGCGTAGGTTGTTCCAGGATTCTCCTTATCTCTTCCCTGATCACAGTCATGTTAGCATCATGGATGGGCCAGATGAAGGATTGTTTGCCTGGATTACTGTTAATTTTCTATTAGGTTAGACATGCATTTCTCAAACTCATTTAATTAAACATTCAGCACAATCATAACTGTGACAGTCTTTGGATATCTGATCTTAACTTGCATCCATTTAACAATAAATTGAACTATGAGTCTGAGTTTTCAATGAACGAATAGTCAACAAGGCATAACAAAATTGACTATCACTCATAAAAAAAGACAACGAGCAGTCTAATTTATTGCAGTTTTCATGTTGCCTCTATTTTTTTCTTGCAATGAATGACTGACAGATATTTGTAATCTGCAGTGTTCTATTTATTGTTTATCATTAGGAAGTCTGACAAGCGACAGCTCAAACCTGTTTGGTACCTTGGATCTTGGTGGAGGATCGACACAGATTACTCTTAACCCAATTGATCAGGTTAATATATGTATAGTACTTGAAGAGCCCATGTATTTTAATTTGTTGTTAAATGTGCACAGTCTCACAGAGTGCTTAATCCAAAGTATTATGTTGGCACGAGCTACGCTTACATGTAATAGACACTAATTATTAGAATGGAAAGATACTGTGTATGTTCAATAGTAATCACATTTGAGGCCCTCAACATTTAAGAGATTGTGAGATTTTATGGAGGTTTTAAAGTGTGGTTGCCTAATGGTAAGTGCGCTGGATTCCAGAGTGAGTGGTCCGGGTTCATGTTGTGGCTGCAGTCATTGTCTTTTGTTGTTAGGGAAGACACTTTACTCTCCCAGTGCCTATCTTCACCCAGCTAGGCATGTAAATGGGTACTGGCGCATTGTTGGTACGACCTAAGTTGTCTTAAGATGTTTAGGAAAATTAAGCTCTAAATCATGTTCAGTTTAATTAATAATACCTTTAATATTTGTATACTCTTTCCACAAAGAGAACTCTGATAGAAGCACCTGATGGTTTCTCAAGAAATCTGAACATTGCCAACAACCATTTTACACTTTACACTCACAGGTACGAAGAGAGTTCTTACTTTCTAAATAGGAAGATACCCTCTTGTTGTTAAAATTTGAGGTATTTAAGTCCTAGTTCAGGTGAATTATTTTGTTTTTGAGACTTAATGCAGCTTTGAAGGACTAGTGTTCTTTTCCAGTCCATTCCAATCCATACCTAATATTAAAAGATACCAATACAGGCAAAAGTTTTCAGGTACCCGTTATTGGAACGGGAAATGGCCAACCTCGCCTCTTCCTCTGCTCTTATTCTGACATCCCTCTTCTGAGCAACTGAAGATTGGCCTCTGGCTTGGTGAGAGTTAATGCCATTGTGATGCAAAAAGTAACCTGCGATTGAAGACACTTTTTACATATTCATTAATATGGTTCAGTTGTTTCTTTTAATTAGTTTTTTATTGTTATCAATGTTTCTAGTTATCTTGGTCTTGGACTCATGGCTGCAAGAACATCCATACTGAAACTAGGAGAAGCTGTGAAAGATGGTAAGGGATCTTGGTTTATTATTGTTTGTATTCAATTTGGGGTTCATTGCAGTATTCTAAATGGCATCAGTTCTAAACGAAAAATTGTTGTCTTTTTAATTCTCCTGCAGATGGTAAAGAAGTTAAACACAGTCCTTGTATACACAGCAATTTTAAAGATTCCTGGAAATTTGGCACTAAACACGGTATTAATATTGGGTCAGTATGCACTCAGTTTTGTAATAAATTAATATCTAAAAAGTCTAGTTCAAAGTACATGTAATCTTTTTAGAACAATAACAGGGTTTGCTAACACAGCTTGACTATTCTCAAATCGTTTTGAGCAAGTAAAAATTTTAACTTTTCATTCTGTTGACCGTGTACTGATTTGTTAAAGAGTGATTAAGAAGTTGATTCTTCTTCAAAATTAAAGGGTTAAATCATTTCCTTTCAGTGGTCTTGATACCTATGGTTTCAATGCTTGTATGGAACAGGTCAAAAAAGTTATTTCTCAAGCAGAAGTTCACAAACCAAGTAAGACATTTAAAAAAAGTAGACTNGATTTGATATGGAATCAGTACCCAGATGTTGCTTCACTGATAAATTGAACTTTTATCAAGTACTATACAAGACGGTGGATGTTATGAAGTAGGAGAACACTTAAGAGATATTTTGACGCAAAACAATTAGGAGTCTAAGTCGTTTATTTGCAATCTTTTGTGAGCCTAAACAAATTTGACTGCCTAAAGAGCTGGGAGACTGGGGACAAGAGTTAAATGTTTCCGCTGGGTAGGGCTTTTGAAAGGGTGGATGTCTGTGTCGGTGAACTTCAAGATTTTAATTTTAATAAGTTGGAACCTACATAATCCTCCGTAAGAAAAAAAAAAGGTAGTGACTGGTACATTTACCCATAATTCTTGGCACACGAGAACTTTAACAACACTTATATATACGTACAGAGAAATTCTAAAATCTTCAAACCTAGCATACACAATGCCTTTAGCACAGGAACAAATATTGCAAAGAGATGGCTTTCCTTGTACTTTACAGTCTATGTAAGGCTCGCATGGTATTGTGGTAAAACATATGGTCGCCATCTTTTTTCCTCGAGAGTATTGAATATTGAGCTCTCAAAGCGAAAAACCAGTACAAATTGTTTGTTTGTTCATCTACGCTTTCGTCCGTTTTTCCATGCTAGTAATTGTTTTCTCTTGGCATTTACACTTTGTATATTATTTTCGTGGTGCGTGCAAATTGGCGAAATCATTCTTGTAGTGCCGTTTCCTATTTAATTTAAGCATGATTGCCAAAAAGCATGAAAAAAGAAGACTAAAACTCTTAGGTTTTCANTGGAATCTTCTACAAATTCTTGCCAAGCAGAAAGCTCTTTTACATCAATGAACCATGTTGATGTATCAAGCAGCAAACCCATATTTCATTTTCAGAAGCATCTACCAACACAAATTCAGGTTTTGCAGCATTCTGTTGAAGAACCAATGTTACTACCCTTCACCTTTGACAACACCGTAACATTTGGTATGCAATCAGTAAACACAGGAAGTGAGTCCAATATTTTAACTGATGGCCAAAAAACGAAAGATTTCATGGAAACAATTGTGCCTTTACTGTTGGAATGCTGGGTTGAATGTAACCCTGCCCAAGTGACAACTGGTCTCCCAGACAGTGTGATGTCTCCTTCATCCATCAATGTCATGTTAGCTATAGCAGAAATTTTCAAAGTTATTTTCAAAGCAGCTGAAAGAAATCAAACAAAGCATTCCAACATCCTGGAGCAGACTAAAGTTGAAAACTTCCTGCCTGATATATACAGAGAACTTAATCATCACTTTATGAGCCACTTTCCATTCACAGCATGTCATACTCCATTGCTTAAGAAAGAGAAAAAGAAGTTTGGAAAATCATCTCAACAGGATGTGGGAGATAAAATCAGTTCTTCTGTGTTAACTCTAAACCTTGCAATCTGTGAAGTAATGCTACAGTTTGTAAGAAATGATGTTGCTTTAAAGAAGAAGTATCATTCTGCAGTTCAGAAACTTGAAGACTTTGTTATAGAATCACTGCTGTTGAAGGCAAAAGGAGGTGCTTGGGCTCAACAATTTCAGACAGAGCATGTGGAGAGTTTAATCAAGTTTGCTCATCAGATTCTTTGTGGAAAACAAGGTAATGTATTGCAAATTGTATGAGCATATGCGTGGTACCATGTTATCAAATCTGCATGTTCAAACCAATAAATACTGTATAATACGACATAGGTTCAGCTAAGAGTGATTTTGGGAAAATTATGAGTGAAAGAAAGGCCATGGCAGAATGCAGCACCTTTTCCCTTTAAATACTACCTTAAATTCTGAGGCTTATGGGAATAAAACATAAGAAATTAATTAGTTATCCCATAACCTCAATGTGATTTCTTTTGTTGTATTACCCGAAGCCTCAGAACCACATGCTTAAAAGTGTCTTTCATGTTTATATGTCTGTGTGAATTAAACATAAAAGAGTTCAATTATGGTAGATACCAGGGAAGTAAACTGATGAATACAGTATAATAAAATGTGCTTTTTAAAATCTAGTAGTATTTTTCTTTTTAATTTGTTTGAAGATTCTGATACAGCAAGACAACTGCTCAGTGCAACTTTCAACTTGTACCAGTCCAGCCACATCATGTGTGGGACAAAGAAGATGCTGATGGTGTTTTTTAGCAGCCTTGCATTTCCTGAGAACCCAGATGTGTCAAGGTGAATTTCTCCTTTTCAAGTTTAACATAATACTTACACCTTTAGGTCAATGCACTGCTCTTCCTACTTTCTAGAGTTTCTTGATCCCAATAGATTAAATGATCATTTTTATTCAACAATTTTTGATGTTTACAATAGACATGAAGAGGTACATGCAGTGGTTCAGAAATGGCTCCAAGGATTGCCAAGTGTGTTGCTGCTGTTGAAGGATGCCAGCCCAAGCATGACAGAACTTGTCCTTAGAGACATGAAAAAGGCAATGGTGCAATGTGTCCCACAACCAGATCACAACTTTTTGGCTCATCTGTCCTTGTTCTTTTGTGGGTTTTCTGATTTGTAGAAATCTGTGATACTTTGAGTATAAATTTATTTTTGAGGATACGATGATACGATATACATTATAATACTGCTTAGTAATTAGGTCGTGGGAAAGTATCTCGGTCATCTCAGGAATGCTAAGTGGTCTTGAAAATAACTTTCAGAAATCAATCCTCCATAGAAAAAAAGATCATGGTGACTGGTACATTTACCCATAACAACATACAGAAAGGTTATCACAGGGACAAATATTACCAAAACATGGCTTTCCTTTTGTATAATGGACTGTGTGACTGGGGCTTGCTTGGTATTCTGGTAACCTGTACAGTTGCCATATATTTTTCCTATGAAGGATTGCTGTACAAGTAATTGTTTACACAAGGCTTAGTAACACAAAGCAGTATCCTAGACAGTTGAATTTATTTTTTAATCAGTATTTACATGTTTGGATAAATTCTATGAATTTTTTTCAGCCAAGAATAGTGGACCTTTTGTAAACTTGAGTGAAACCATTCAGAGATCAGCAGTGGAGCTGTTGTTTCACCTTCCATCATTGGATGACAGTTTGCTACAAAACATTGTGTGCTGCTGTCATGGTGGTCAAGTTGGATTATCAGTGATTCAATACATTCTCCAAATCCTGCATTACAGGTTGATTGTTTATGCTGTACATGTAGTTTAAAATGATTTCAGGTGAAAATGAGTTCAAACTAGTTTGATTTGTATTTTTCTTTGTTTAGGATTATGGTAATAAATATGGAACAAAGAAAGATACATATGAGGCTGGTTTAATATCATTTTGACCTGAAATTCATTTTAACCTGCCACATATAAAAGTACTGTCTAGGGTTATATTTCCATACATTTTATTTGCACAATCTGTTTTCTGATAGTGTAATAGTTAGATAGGAAGTCTCGACGATTTGGATACAGGGAAAAACCTGAATCGTTTGTAAATGCTTGTTTCATTTGCTAAACTTCAATGGAAAGATTTTTACATGCATTTTTCTCTACTACATATACTGTATCAACTGTATTATGAAACAGTGCATTTAAAACCTGACTCCAATATATATGAAAGCTGATTTATCAGATGTGCAATTGCATCATCAGGCTTGTTTTTTGTCATTTTAGCCTTTCTTTATGCATTTACAGGAGGGTAAATCAAGATTTTGTTGCAAAGTCTTGATTAAGATGGGCAAAAAATGCTACTTACCATTAAAGCAGATTCAATAGATTTTGACACACACATCTTATAGGAATTTTGTATGATAATTTTTTGAGGCAAACTTCACTAAATACATGTACCTAAGAGCAGTGTCCTCAAACTTCATGTTCTAGCTCATTTACCAATAATTTGTCCTCTTCAAAGTGGAGGAAATACCATGGATGAGTTAAATTTGTATTGACTTTGCCTTTTAACTTACCAATCCATGTGGTGTTTTCTGTGTAGGTCTCCAGGCTATCAAGGATTTATGTGCCACCCTGCAGCATTTTCTCTTGAAACATACTCAAGTGTTCTTTTAAATGTAGCAGTAGGTGAGTGAGACGTTAATTATTTTGCTTTACAAGTGCGTTTTAAATTCATTGTAAGTTACAGTAACAGGCTCAGCTGGGAATTAGCATTACAGTACTGAACTCTACCTTGCATTCTTCTTATCTGGTATTTTTCTGGCATGGTACATGTACATTACTTATAACAACTTTTTTATATGGCTTGTGTTTGTAGCTGATATAACACGCATTCTGATTGGCTAATATCAGGACATTATTCTCCCGTAATGCCCACAGACCGATTACTGGCCTTCAAAGGCCATACAGTAAACAACTTATTGACCGAAAATGTTCGGTCTTTACAGGAAAATCTCAAACCTCAACCTTGACATATTGACCTCGCCATTGCTTGATCAATACGACTTGTTTGAGATTTTCCTGTAAAGATCTCCGTCTCAGTTAATAAGGAGTTATTAATATTGCAGTGATAGAAGATATGGCTCAAGACCAACACCAGTATTACTCATTGATAGTTCTGTACCATTTTCCTTTAGGGCACTTTCCATTTTCCATTAACTTCAGGTGTAAGGGTTTTTTGAACACTTCTGACGATTCTCTTGTGGGCTAAACAAGATTCACAAAAAATTTTCATAGAATGTTGATTTGTGTGACCTTGCAGGCTTCTCTAAGAAACAGTTGACTGAGTATCAAGACACAACAAATCTTGCAGAGACCCACAAGCTGACTGACTTCATGTAAGAACATGTTTAGTGTTGATCAGCCTTGGAAATCGTAAAACTCCATACCAGTTATTAAAATTCAGCCCATAAGCAATCAATTTTGAGAGGTGATTCTGAACAGCTCGGATATTTTAACACTTACCCCCTCTAGTTATACTCAGGAATATTATCATTCCTCTTATTCCGAGAAACAAATATTAACCCAAACTAAAACTTGAAGATTGCTCTTACCCGAGCTTCCATTGCAGATATAAATCACCATCTTCATGTTAGATGTCCTACAGTGTCCCCCATTCTCACTGGACAGTGAATTTTGCATGCCGTTTGAGGTTGCTGAGGAATTCAAGATCATAAATACGACGTAAGTAATTTTGCATTGCTGGAATTTACTCAGAATTGTAGGTCTTTTGGATCCATCTATTTACTTAAATCGGTGTTAGAAATACTGACTAGCAAACCTGCTTTGAACCAATTCCTCTCGAAATCGATGACGTATGCTATTCTCTTTGGTGTCTGCCTGTGTTTTCTAGCTTCATGTTTTTTACAGGGCCTCCAATAAGCGATCACTTATTGACTAGTGACACTTAATATCCGAATTAGCAGTGTCCTTACTAAGCCGCGTACGGCCTTCTTGTAGTCCACGACCACATACAATATCTGCGAAAACGATCTCGAGGTCTCCTTAGGGCGAGGTATAGTAATGGTTAGGTAATAGCAGTGGTTACAGATAGTATTCGAATTAACAATGTCCTGAGCACGAAGTTGACTTAAAAGCCTACGGCCTTTCTGTATTCTAGAACCAAATACAAAGTCTGTGAAAACGAGCTCGAGGTCTCCTTAGGGCGAGGTAGGGAATAGCAGTGGAACTTGGAAAGCCTTATTGCACAGAAAACAGATTTCACCAATTAAAAATGGTACAGGACTTACCTATGAAGTAATATTTTGTTCCTGGCACAAACTCTATACCTCCTAATAAAGCGCTGTAAGATCTAAACACCATTGGGTAATACTTTAACTGTAAAGGACTATTACAAGTCAGTAGTTTCTTATTTGCCGTGAAGCTGGTGACACTTGTGTTCACTGTGCACATGTCATACTCGTGTTTGTCCACGATCCACATGTTCTCGTACATTTGTTCCTTGGGTATGCTGGCCTCTTGTTCATCTAACACGCTCGCTGGGTTTGGACAAACGATGTTAAGTTTGGAATGCCGAGAAACGTTGATCTCCACATTTTTTTTGAATCTGTTCAGGGATTTCAAACAGTAATTCAGTTAACCAGGAAGGTAATTTAAGAGAGGCATGCAAGTATACTCTTTTTTTCCTTATAAGAGTATATCAGTTATAAGAATATCCCCGGTGAAATTTGCGAAATTTTAAAAACATTTTAAGAATAAACCTGAGACTACGATTTTGAAAAGAATAAATTTTTTTATGTTGAAAATTTGCGATACAATACAACTATATGTGAAAAGTGAACTGATCAACATGACACGAGCCTGAGACAAAGGAAAAATCTGAGCGCCCGCCCGGTGTTCGGGAGGTGATGGGTTCGATTCCTGTCGGGGACTCAGATTTTTTCTTTGTCCCACGCTTGTGTCATGTTGATCAGTTCACTTTTCACATTTCATTACCGAGCTTAAATTCACCATCTTTATTCACTTAATACAATTATATGTTTTTAGTTAAACCCTATAAAATATATATTCTTCCTTTCTCTAAACAGTTATTGACATTATTCATCGAGCRAGAAGATCGTAACAGTGAGATTTGTAAATCCAGGGCTATATATTAACAGTTCGTCTTGAGAATAGCCCTCAGTTGTGAACCGTTAGCTTGAAGTACTTTCAACCGTACATAAGGCCGGGTTTGATCCCGATAACCAATGAACAATACATTGATCGAAATATGCTATCGGTATGTACAACATCTTGTACTGTTGTAACAAGATTTCAGTTAGCTCAACAGGTATACCAACGCTCCGCGGATACATAGGTACATAAATGCGTTCTTCAACATAAATGTTGTTCTTGTGAACAGCACAAGGTCATAGCAGTTTTCATGTTACCATCAGGTCTTAATTGGCCGTATTGATGTACGCGAGGAGAACCAAAACAACTTCAAAACAAAAACAACAGAACTCACAATGGATTTCTTGGATCCCAGTGAATGGACGGCTTATGGCTTGCTTCACCGAATGACGAAACACTGAAAATGAACCAAACTTTCACAAGATACACAAGTGTGAACATGTTCTCCACTCTTTAACTAACAAAGCGCAGTGCCGTGGTTTCTGACAATCAATATTCGCATCTTTGTCTGCTTGCAGTCGAACCGAGCCATCCCAAAGAGCTAAATCGCTTTATCAAAAGAAAAAGATAATTTTTCAGAATCACTCATTTTTTCTTTTGTGATTATAATTTCAATGTACGTCATTTAATTAAGTGAGGCATCTAAATTTTTCGCAGTTACGAAAAATCGGGGCACGAAAATCAGTTAGCTGTGCTCCGGTAAACGCTAAGTACGGTTATAGATTGGATATTGTTCTGTCATAATATCCTTCTCACGCTTAAAGAAATATTTACAGTAACCCAGCTCCAAAAAAATTCAAAACTTATATTTTTATTTAGTAGATCAGCATCGCCCATGTTAAGTAATCCTATTAGAAAATCTCTAGGGACATACTACAAAGCAAAGCTACCTTAATTATGGTTCTAAAAGCGTCGACTAGCTGTCTTTTAGTAAGATGTAAGAAAACAGCTATGCCTTAACTTTCTCACGTTTGACAAATTACAGAAACCTAGCACTTATGAAGTCTGTATTTTTTTCTTACTTAATGTACCGGTGTTGCCCTTGGTAACTAGTCGAGTAAGCTAATCTTATTGAAAACTCTCAAGGGTCAAGGGATTGACAACAGTGTAAGGCCTTTTTAATGCGTCAACCTGGGTTTATCCTAGATGACTTATAACACGCCTATGGCGTTTAGTTACGTCACGAAATAAAAAGAAAAAG